GCATTCTATTATGGTATCCTCAGGGGTGACAACAGATATGCATTTTGAGTCTTAATTGAGGATAAATGTGGATTTCTATTTTTTTATAGGATAGGCTGACAAACGAGCACACAGTTCACCTGATAGTAAGTGGTTGCTGTGACCCATAGACATCTACATCTATCCTCAATAACGAATCAAAATGCAGATGCGTTTTCACCCGTGAGGACTAAGATGGAATGCCTCTTTTCTAGTAAAAATGGTCTCTGGTTGTTCACACTCATTGTACGAATCACAGCAGTATTAAGCTGCTATTTTACACTGGTATTCTGTGAGAGCGTGGTCCTTCCCCGGTCGGTGGGTTACAGCTTCTCAAACCTTCGGGTGGACTGTGTGCTCATTTGTCACCCTTATACTATAAAAAAAAACGAGCATACAGCTACCTGACGGTAGGCATTCTCAATTGAGAATCAAAATATAGATTTATTGTCACAACGGAGAACTAGTCAGCGGTTCTCGTATATCATATAGCAGCATGCTATTTTACGCAGGTATTCTGTGCGAGCGAGCACCGATCAGACAGACAGCCTCATGGTTACAATGCTGTTTTTACGATGCTGTTTTTATATAACATGAAACTTTTAGATTGGATTCATCAAAATATGGATACACTGTGTTTTCATGTTTTGGTATTTCTAATACATTATAACATTACAATAATAATATCTTCTGCCCACAGCTGCACGTGGGCACAAACATGACACCCCAAAATATATGGCGGACGGAATACGTAGGTCACTCAATAAGTTTTGAGATATACAAAAAGTATTCTAAATACTAATAATATTTATTTTACATCTTTTCAAAATATTCTCCATAATGCTCTTTACAAAGTTCCATTCACCTAAACCAACTCTGAAAACACTTGCCAGTCTTGATCTGACAGGTCGGAAATCGCTTCTTCGTAGGCAGCTACGGCTTCTTCGGCGCTTGAAAAAAACTTGCCTTTTATTTTTTCTTTGACTCTTAGGAACAAAAAGAAATCACGAGGAGCTAAGTCAGGGCTGTAGAGTGGGTGACTTAGAGTTTCATCACCAGATTCCTCTATAAATGCTTTTGTTCTAAGGGAGGTATGTGAAGAGGCAGGCGTGTCACTTTGTAAAAATCTGAGGTATGGAAAATGGTGGCGCGATTTTCAAATTTGTTCGCATTACTCGTGGGGTATTAAGGTTTAAGAGTTTGCAGTGTATATACTCAACTTATTTATTGAACTATAAGATGTGGGGTATTGAGGTTTAAGGGCTTGCGATTTATTTATATGGGGTTTGTAGTAATATGCGATTTATTTCCTAATTTCAGCTATGGAATTCCATACCTTGAAAAACTTGAGGTATGGAGTGCTCCATACCTTCCATAGTGGAAGTGACACCCCTGTGAAGAGGCGTTATCGTGATGCAGTATGATTTCCTGAAGCCCGGTGTTTGGTCTTCTCTCCCGTACAGCTTGAAAAGCTTTGGGTAATGCAACTGTAGTATACAATTCAGAGTTGACTGACCTACAATTTACCATCATTGACGTCGACAAATATCCTCTCCGCGAAAAAAAACTAGCCACCATTTTTTTTTGCCCAGGTTGCGAGGTCTGCAGTTTTGTTGGTAACTGTCCTTCTGAGTAGACCCATACCGATGATTACCTTATATTTTCCGGATCATATTGATAGATCCATGTCTCGTCACCAGTAACGATTTCTGAAACACACCTAGGTGCCCCGTTTTCAAAACGTAAACGCATTTCATGGCACCTATCCACACGAGTCTGTTTTTCGCTTCCGGAGAGCAAACGAGGGATCCATCGACAACAAAGCTTCCTCACTCCAAGATGTTGATGTAGGATGGTATGAATGCTCCCCGAACGAATAATGCCTACAATCTTTTCGATATCCGTATATGTGATTCGTGGGTCTCCTCGCACCAACATTTCATTAGTCCATACATTTTCTGCCGTTACTGCTGTTTGCGGGGTCCCGGTTCTTTGGTCATGTTTAAGATTAATTTTACCCCTTTTGAATTTAGCAAACCACCTAAAAATTGTTGCGCGTGATGGAGCTGAGTCCTTTAATGCTGATTGTAACCGTTGTAAACTTAATTGTCCGGTTAAACCAAATTTAAAATAATAATATATCATAGCGCGCAAATGTTCACGGTTAAGATCCATCGTTTTAAATTCGAGGACTAAGATAGAATGCCTCTTTTCCAGTAAAATGGGTCTCCGCTCCCCTACACTAACCATACGATTGGGCTATTTTAGGCTGGTATTCTGTGAGAGTGTGGTCCTTCCCCGGTCGAGCCCACCCACTTGTGCTACAACTATACTACTAATATAGCTGCAGCATGGCTCTACCACGTATAAACCAACTATCTTGTTAGATAGGTGGTTTATACGTGGTAGTGGTAGTGGTGTTCCACTAACCACATACGATTGTTTTCCCTGTCGCTATTTAGCGAATGGATATTTAATGTCTAGAGTACTCGTAAACAATTGGTAAATTTAAAATTTTGTGTATTTTTGAGTAATCGGTGAACATACATTAAAAAAAAAGATTCCGACGAATTGAGAACCTCCTCCTTTTTTGAATTCGTTTGACTAGATGTTATACCTGCAACTTTCGAAAGCCATGTTAGATTATGTTAAATTTTACATAATATTCTTTAATACATACATAATCGTTGTTTCATTTGTTAGTACCTAATGTAAATTCCGAATGACTTGACTGGTTTGTCATATTTACCTACGCAATATATTTGGTCAATCGACGGTTCATAGATATGCTAGGATCCGATGGGTGGTGCTGTGGGTAAGTATGTTGTATGTAATGATTCTTTTTTTACCTAGATAAAAATGAGAAGATTCTATATTCGATGCGTATGTTTTATATTTAGTTCACCGATTTCTCGGAAACGGCTAAACCGATTTAAATTATATTTTTATTAAATATTATGTAATTCAAGAGTGAAACCTAATAAATTTTAAGAAAAAATTCCATCCCTTAATGGTGGAAAAATATAGAGGAAGATTTTAATGTACCTGTTTGTTACCTTAAAATTGTGATATTATTAAGACCACTTAAAGGGTTATATAATGAAACATTAATAAAAATTAAAACCTATTTCAAAAACTACAAGAAAATTAAAAATTACCAAACGGATACACTATATGTATTTCCAAATCGATAGCATTAACTTCAAACGCTATTTTGTCAAAATCATTTTATTATTTTTAGTTTTTGGGGTCGGTTTTATATTTCTTTAAAAGTTTAATTATCGAGTATTATAGTTTATTTTTCCCGGAAAATGTTTATAGATACACAGATGTTATTGTCAATATATAATATTGGCGCCAATATCTATACTTCCATTTATATCATACATTTATAAACGCACTCTTTCAAATTGAAAACTTCATCAGGTTTGGAGACAGTGTCATCATCTATTTTCGAGATTGCAACTTTAAAACTCACTAAAAAAATATGCGTGAGTGTCGTGGAACACTCGTTTGGAACGAAATTCTTTTCGTAGTAATATACTATTATTGATAAACGTATTATATTATTGATTAAAAAATACCAATTAATTACCAGTGTCTATTAAAATGAAGCGTCATTTAAAATAATATTTCTTTTATGGCAAGATAAGAAAAAATGCGAGCGAGATGGATATTATTCCATCTCGTTTCCTTATAGCCGTCAAGGCCGTCTACACTGCGTCAGAAGAGGTCGTGACTCGTGACGGAAAAATCTTACAGTTTTCTCGCCTAGCCACCTTCCGCCAAATTCATACAGTCACCAAAAACAATTAGCGAAAGTATCCACAGACATATTTTTTGAAGTTATACTTCTTTTGAGGTGTTTGGGGAAAATGATGAGAGTGAATTTATACGATGCGCGCGCACACTGTCACCTAAAACCGATAACTTCAGTGGGTAATTGTCTCTCAATTTTTTTTGTTTTGTTACGCTAAAGAAGTATAACTTCCTACGTGCGTACATAAGTACACACACACTTTTTTTAAAGTGAAAATAATCTATGGACCTTCTAACGTGGAGATATATTAATATTGAGACTTATATTACAACTTCCAAAGGGGAAGCTAATAAAATCCAATCAATTACCATTTACACAAGATTACGAAATTGTTTCCTTTACGCTTGCCGCCTGTTACACCGATGTACAATACTAGTCTTACGAGCGAGATGATAGTTTGATACAGTAATTGTCAGCTGCTTGCGAAGGAACGCAGATTTGACTCTATCTTACTTTTAATACTGCTTACGTAATACTCACAAATAAACTTGTATATAAATAATTTATTTCTCTTTAGGGGGTCAGTGGACTTCTGATGGAGTCAGTGCTTACGAAAACGACCTCGTTGTAAACCTGTTTGTTTGTGATGTGTGACCTCTGAATATCAAACAACGCCATCAGTATTATAAAAGAAAATATGTTTAAAAGAACAATAAAGACATAAAGTAACTATACTCCTTACTTGTTTATTATTCCCACGAGAATTTGAGATGAGATTAATCAAAATTTGCTGATTTGATAACGACTTCGAAGTTTTCTTTTGCAGTGTATTTTTAAAGTTTCACCATTGTTTAATTAAATTATTTATATTTTAACTAATTATAATCATTTAAATCACATCACTGTGTGATTTACTAGGAGTTTTCTTCCACGCACGACTTCTTTGTGGAATTGGCCACCATAATCGATTTTTCCGAATTGATACTTTTAAGAAAAGATTCTACGCCTTTTTAAAAGGCAGGCAATGCACCTGCTTTCCCCCTAGGTGAGCCTCATGCTCATTTGCCCCGTCTCCTATAAAAATTTGAATTACTTATTTAATTACATAAGTATTGGGCTGTTAATTAAAACGTATTTTTTGCGTGGCGATTAAAACAAACCTTTCCTACATTGGGTGAAGCCCAAATAAATACTTAATAATTATATATTTATTTTTTTCCAGTGGAGAATCCGAACTTTGACCAAGGATACTACGGGCCATGGCGCGTTTGCAAGAGGATGTTGTACAACCGAGAGAAATGCGGCACAGACGTCTCAAAATTTCGGCCTTCAAGTAAGTCTCAACCTTTTTTCGTTGATGTCATTGTTGATAGTACCGTTACTTTTACAGCTCTTTTTTGAGGATTTGTAATAAATACTTTTGAAAGAAGCTTAACTTACTTATTGTATTGGTATAAAATAAGGGTGATTAACATGGTAAATGGATACTGTAGCCCATAGACACTTAGATAGATGCATCTTGATTTTTAATCTCGGATAGATATTCTATAACAATAGCAAGCAATAATAGCAAGATTGAAAATGACGTTACCAGTAAAATGTGGTAAATATTTAATCAATTTTAGCTCTTTGATAAATGAGACCGTTTTATTAGGTGCCTTAATTCTAATTGAATTGTCGCACGGCTGCGTACGTCGAGCCACGCCTTGTGAACTTTACGTTATATTACAAAATATCCAGGGTACTTTTTTTTAGATATTCTATGTATAGGTCTATTTTCAGAAGCTGTCGATAATGAATAATTTATCATCATTATGTGGTAATATTACGGATCTAGTTCCGTATCTTAGCCAGGACCTAAAAATTGTGAATAACTTTTGTACCGTGATTGTCTTTGTAGATTTGAAACTGCGGTCCTTCTCCGATGTTTCAGCATAATTTTTAGACCGGACACGAATATATCAGAATGATTCAGTAATTTGTGTTCGTGTGTCCGCTAATTTATGTAATAAGTTAAAATATTCGTTTGTAGACGTTTTCGACGTGGTAGAGCCATGCTGCAGCTATATTATGGTTGTAGCACGTATGGGTCGGCTCGACCGGGGAAGGACCACGCTCTCACAGAAAACCAGCGTAAAATAGCAGCTTAACGCTGCTATGTTTCGTATGGTGAGTGTAGAGAACCGGAGACCCTTTTTACTGGCAAAGAGGCATTCCATCTTAGTCCTCACGTGTGACTACGCATCTGCATCTTGAGTCTTTATTGAGGATAGATTTAGATGTCTATGGGTCACAGTAACCACTTACCATCAGGTGGACTGTGTGCTCGTTTGTCACCCGATCCTATAAAAAAAAGACTGAATCCGGTTGTAGACTGATATTCACAGTGTGAGCGAAAATACGCCATATAATGGAGTAATTCAATATAGAAGCTAAAATTGAATTTGATTGAGTATACCCGTCACCGGTATTTCTGGAATTGTTAATTGCAATCCTACGTTTCTGATATACCTAATACGTGTCTGGCTGGAAAGAGCAATCACTTGTAGAAATTTTAATGTCTGAGAAATAAAATTTACGTGTTTCCTGTTCTTAGAGAAAATAAACTATAATAATAGTGGCATGTTCCGGCTATAATACAATCTCATTAATAGTAGCAGCTTTAAGATCATCAGTAGAACATATATAGGATCTTTCTTTAATACGTGGTAGGACTCCATTTCTGCCGCCAAATAGCATGTGTGCACTGGCTCTGCTCCAGTCTAAAAGGTAAAGGGAGTCTGTATAAAACCAGGTTATGAGGTATTCCATCTTAAATCCTCAGAGGCGGCAACGCATCTGTAGGCCTCTGCATTAGAAGTTGGTTGCACATTTATACATGGTAGAGTAGAGCCACACTGCGAATATGTAATGGTTGTAGTATGAAAAGATCGTTTTGTGTGGTAAAGGACCGCGCTCTCACGGAATATCAGCGTGAAATAGCAGCTTAATGCTGCTGAGTTTTATATAGCATTCCATCTTAGTCCTCAAAGGTGACAATTTATCTACATTTTGAGTTTTAAACGAGGATAGATGTAGGTGTCTATGGACCACAGCATCCAATTACCATCAGGTGGTCTGTGCGTTCGTTCGTCACCCGTATTCTATAATAAAAAAGAAAGAAAATACAGTATTAGCTGAGCTGTAAATTCATTTATCACTGCAGTTTTATAAAAAAAATGCTTAAGCTACATCAACATTTATATATAACGAACAAAACCATCTATTTAACTTATTTTTAGATAATGATAAATTTTGTATTACGAAGTTTCTTTAACAGACGTTTCTCATAAATCATCTAGCTTTAGATGCGATATATTTTATGGTTGAAGAACAGAGCATAACGTTATTATGAACCGTTATTTTAGACGCCCTTGCGCTCATTCGCTCGTAGCATCGAAGGCCTGTCCTATTAACGAAGAAAAAATTCTAAATTCGCTTATATTTAGTACGAACTTGTACTTATAAAAAGCGAACTATATGGTTCAAAGTAAAGTAATATAAAGTTAGAGCGTATGTACAGCCCACAGCTAGGCGCACGCTGCTTCTCATTATTGTTATAATAGCTATTAAGTTTAGTGTTAAGAAATTTTTGTCGTTTTGTGGTTATAAATAAATACATTTTCAATTTCAAATTTTTCAATTCTTGCTAGGGTTATAGCGCAATTAGTCCACAGACATTCACATATCCTCGAAGTATTTTTATTCCTCAGACATGCAGGATTCCTCACGATGTTTCCTTCACCGCCGCGCACATGGCAAATCAGCTCTGAATATTGAAATTAATAATTTCATTCGCCGCCAACGGGGATCGAACCCGGATTACTTGTGAATTGTGAAATTTACAGCGAGAAAATAATTATATTGCGATAAGACTATGTTAGTCTTATCGCAATATAATTATTTTTTGCCCTTGGTATATTAACTCAATTATTTTTAGCACTAAACATGTCTTCATCATTTTATGTAGTACTAAACTTTAAATTTACATATAAATGCTAATACGTGTAAAATGTTAACAGTTATTGTAATATTTATTTCCTAATAAATTGTAGATGTCTATAGGTCGCAGTATTCATTTAAAAAAAATATTTATTATATTTTACGTGATAGAGCCATGTTGCAGCTATATTAGTAGTATAGTTGTAGCACGAATTGGTCGGTTCGACCGGGGACGGACCACGCTCTCACAGAATCCCAACTTAAAATACCAGCCTAATGCTGCTGTGTTTCGAATTATGAGTGTAGAGAACCGGAGACCCGTTTTACTGGAAACGAGGCATTCCATCTTAGTCCTCACGCGTGATAACGCATCTGCATTTTGATACGTAATCGAGCATAGATGTAGGTGTCCACGGGCCACTGCAACCACTTACCATCAGGTAGGCTGTGTTGTCACCCTTATCCTATAAAAAAAATGTAAAATGTATAATCTCGAAAATCACAAACGCATATTGCAGTTTGTTTAATTTTATAAACTTATATATTCTTAATATTGGAAACTTTGTTTATCTTATCACGTCACGTAACGCTTAGTAAGGTTATTTTATTCAATCATCAAGGTTATATTTAACTACATCACAAGTTGCATGCGCTTCCTTCCAGGTAGATGCATGAACGTGATTGAATGTAACAATGAAGCAAATTAATACATACTTGGTATTGTTAACGACTTAAGACGACTTTGCTGTCCTTTTTAACGTTTTTGAACCTCTGTGTGGTTAGCCAAAATGACATTCTACGATCGTTACTGCTGTAGAACCTATATTTAATACGTGGAGGAAAACATTTTTACCCCTTTTTAAGCGTATTGCGCTCACGGAGGATCGTGAGAATTGTCATTGTCATAGTTGAAGTTTATATGGAGAAGGATCGCAGTAAGCTTAAATAAATTAAATTTAAAAAACATTGTTTACGTGCCTAGTACCAATATCAAACATATTTAATATGTTTAATTGAGTCTGTGGTTTGTTTACGTTCATACTGCCAATGTGCCTACAAATAATAGTGTGTGATTCGACAGTCGCACAGAGTAGAGATTGTCGAAAGTATTTAAAAATGTTGCCAACAAATAATTACTAAGTACTTACTTAATTTTGTGTGATTTCAAATACATAATTTTTCGAAACTAATTTTTACGGATTATCAGTAAAAATTAGTTTCATTTAATGTGTAGTCTTCGCGTAAATATAAGAAATCATTACATAATTTTTTAATAGTCTGTAGTGTAGAGTGTGCGTCTATACAAAAAAGCGTTTATTTTATATTTTGTTGAAAGGCGGTCTATGTTTAAACGTGCAGTTGAAAGCGAAATACAGCTTGCTTAATATAAAAACGCAAAAATTTAACGATTTATGGTTAAATTTCGACCAATGGATGACTACTAGATAAAAATAAATGACGTGTTATGAATGAATGACTTTTACGTAGTAGAGCCATGCTGCTGCTATATTGGTAGTATAGTTGTAGCACGAATGGGTCGGCTCGACTGAGGAAGGACCAGGAAGGCTCTCACAAAATACCAGCGTAAAATAGCAGCATAACGCTGCTGTGTTTCGTATGGTGAGTGTAGAGAACCGGAGACTCTTTTTTACTGGAATCGAGGCATTCCATCTTAGTCCTCACGGGTGCCTACGCATCTGCATTTTGATTCGCAATCGAAGATAAATGTAGATGTCTATGGGCCGCAGCAACCACTTACCATCAGGTGGACTGTGTGCTCGTTCGTATCGTGAGTCACGTAACTTAACGTTCAGATATTATGTCATTCCCATTCATTTTTATAGTTTCCTATAGTATTAACAATCATAGAAAGTCATCTTGGCTAACCCCGCTGTAAATCTATTGAAATGTAAATATTTCGCAGTTACAAAATAATTTTATAAAAATTAAACATACTGATAAATGAAGTGTGGAGTCTGAAACGCGGATATAATAATTGGATAATTGGTACGACACTCAATTGTTTCTTATACGTGCATCTTGCAGTGATTCCATAATGAAACCGTGTAAATCTTATATCAAATGAAAAATAATTTAAGGGAGATAAAGGTGAGCCCATCGCCACACCATCTACTTGCTTGTAGAACTCTTCCTTCCACAATAGGTAGCGTAGATGTAAGGCAGTGCTGAGTAATACTGCATATTCAACGGGCATGTTGTTTTCCTCCAGCCTTCTAAGTTACATTGAGATGCAATATTCAACAGGTAAGCATGTGAACAGAAACTGCACATCAAAACTGAGCATAGATTCATTGTCTGCCAGATATAGGTCTTTAATCTCGCTGACAAAAT